TTACTTCAGGTTTAACCAAAATATCTGAGCTGACAATAGTAGAATTTGGCTTAGATATATTAATCGAGCTATTTAATTTTGAACTTGGGTGTATTGAATTATCATTATTAGTTTTGTCTTCTTTAACTTTTGATATTTTTTTAAATATATTTAATTTCTGTTTATCAGGTTCTGTTGTCAATTTTTCACTATCACATAAAAAGTTTTTTGAGTACTTAGAATGTGATGTTGATGTTTGAATAGGCTTATCAAATATAGTATTTAGTACATTTAATTTTGATTTATCTTTGATCTTGGCTGGTTTTTTAAGTCGAGGTCCTTGATTAGATTCCCGGATAGCTCCAATTTTTAATGCTTTAAGTTTTGATGTTTCTTTCACATTAGTAAGTTTTTTCACTTTAGAATCTTCATTTTTATTATTATTAATATTACTGTCAACAATATTTTTTCCCTTTTCTTTGAAACTGTTCAATGTTTTTTGTGATAATTTTTTAATACGTTGTTGATTGTGTTCACCTTTGACCTCTGGTGGAACTGTAGGATAAGATGATGTATGTGATGAACTGACTTTAAAATTAGGAAATGGCATTAATCGAGGTTCTGGCAATTTGCCTTCTCGAGACGGTGAAAGAAATCCAGATGTTGTCATAACCACACTAGAAATCTCTCTAAGTCGTCTGTGAACAACTAGATTATCTTTCAATGGTCTGAAAATAAATTAAATATTTTAAATATTAATACAGCATAACTTTTTTTAATGATTGTAAGAAAACTTGTTTTATACTTTTAAAATAATTTTTAATAATTACTTATCACATTTGGAGACCTGAGATTCTTGAAAACTTAATGGCTCATTAAAAATTCCTAGTGAAGAACTTGAGTGTGGTGTCTGGCTTTTATCATTTTGCATTGATTTTTCATCTGTGATAAATAATTATAATTAAATTCCAGACTTTAATGACTCTAAAATATATAGAATGATGTAAGTAAGCACAAACTATTTAGAAATATTTTACATGATATGATCTTAAAATACGAAGAAAAAATAAAAAGAACTAATTAGAATATCCATTAACTGTTCAAATTAAAATCAAAGATTTTTAAAAATGTATAAAAAGTTTACCAATTTGTTCAGGGTACATTGTAGGAAGATGTTCATGTACATACACGGGTCTGGTCACAATTTCTCGGCTTCCTGGTTTCATAATATTTAAGTTCGATTTTGTTGGTATGGGGAACTTAGGCACTTGATGAGGAAATTCTATGGACCCAACTTGTTTTAAATATCTAATTAAGTCTGGTATAGCAACATCTTTATCTTGAAATGCCATTTTTACATCATCAATATCTGGTTCTATAGTATCGGCTAAAAAAATAAAAGTTATATATTTTACAATGAAATAATATTAATGGTAAATACAATTTCTAATAATAATTCAATAAAGATATTTTTAATTAATAAAAATTATTTATTGTGAAAAATTAAACTATATTTGCTATCAGTTACTACTCCTAAAAAAACAATTTAATCCTATTACAGCAAAGCCTAATCTAACCCATTTTCCAAGTCTTTTTTTAGTTTTTTTTCTTTGAATCTCAATAACCGTTTTTTTACTACAAAAACATTTTTGAAAAGTTAATCCAAAATTCCTAATAAATTTTATGTTTATCTATTAAAAAATATCAAAAATATCAGTCAAAATATTTTATATAAGCATTTACAATTAAAATTTTGTAAAAAATCTCAATAATGTGTTAACATTTTTTATACACATATCTTAGATATAAAAACTTATTAAAAAAATTTACTGATGAAGTGACGTAGATTTTTATGAACGCTTGAAGTAATAAGGCATTGAATATTCACCTATAAAATAAATATTCCTCTCAAAGATTTTTAATTTAGTTTTAGTTAAAACCAAATTTAAAAAAAATTCATAGATAGGTACTTGACATTTTCAAATTGAATTGACTATTTCGAGTTATTTATTCATAGTCATGAGCAATTTTCGATTACTTTAGTTTTGTTTAAATTTTGTCGATAAAAATTGTTTGTAGGGTCAAAGACTTCGACAATTTTATACAAGGTTTCTCACAAGTATTGTTATAATAATTATTTAAGTACCAATGGTAGAGATAGAAAAACACAATTTATTTTCATACCCATTTGAAATAAAATGTTGACAATATTCAAAACCACGAAAGTTCACAAATTATATTGTACTTAAAACTCATACAATTTTATTCATTCATGTCTAAGATTTGAAAATTCCAACATTAAAGATTGTTTATGATCAATTTAGGATATTTTTAAAAAAACATTCTTTACAATTAATACAGTCAAATTATTATCTATTACGTTAAAAATATGGTTTGTTTTGTGATATTGCTATTGAATTATTTATATAATTTAACTAATTTTTAATGTGGTTAAAATAATTGTTTTTAAAACTAAAAACCAGTAAAGCAAATAACTAAAGACCAGATTTTTCATACAATATATGTTGCATTTTTTAAATTATATGCATGCATTCAATGAGTTACCATAAATCATTACTTGATTAATAAAATAACAAAATTTCATGATACATATTTGTGTAATTTTCTGCAAATTATGGATGTTGTTGTTTAATCACTAATAATATAAAAATCAATTTAATTTAAACTGATATTTTGACTGTATTGTAATAATATTATTCAGTAATCATTGATAAGCTAAAACAATATTGATTCAGTGTTGTTTTAGCTTATCAATGTGAATATACCAGGGCCAGACTAGATACATAACCTAGCTATAATATTTATTGATTTTACAATATATATGGAAATACTACAGGCAACATAAACAATCATGTTAGTCTTCAAATTTTTAGTGACAGTATATATATAAAATACTTTTATTTTTAAAAATAAACTTATTATTTTTCTATATCATGTTTTTTTTTTTAATTAAAATGCCAAAAGTTTGAAATTCAAAATTTTAAAGCATTAAACAATGAATTAAATCATACAATAAATCTGATTAAGTTTTTAAAATTATAAACAATAATATAGTATTTTGTGAGTATTATCAAAAAACTATGACCAAATTGATCAGTATGCAAACTAGTAAATTTATTTATATGTGAAACAATAAACAAATAGTAAAGAAAGTACATTTTGGTACATTTTTTCTTGAAAATATTGCAGTTATTAAAAAAAAAAAGTGATATTTATCATAAAAAATAATGGACTGAAATTGATCAAAAATAATTCAAAATGAAATTATTTATTTTAAAGATATCTATTCTCACATATAATTATTTACGAGAAATTAGCCAATTTTAAGTATGCACCAGTAACAAGTATTTATGTAGATCAGAGTTTTTCATTAAATAAGTATAAACTAATAAATCACTGATATAATAATTATAGTATAAGCGTAACTATATATTTCTAAAAGTTATAGTAAAATGTATTATATAAATTTAAATAATATTGTAACTTTTTTCTCCTGACAAGTATTACAAATTTATGAATCTACGAGTAATATTTCTTTTGTATTATTTTTGAGTTTTTTTTTATTTTGCTTTAAATTAATGTTAAAGGTAGGAGATACAATTATTAATAAAATTATAAAAATCAAATATTTAATAATTATTAATGTATGAAAATTTAGTAATTACAAATCACAGTTAAATAGTCCATAACAATGATAAGAACATAAAATTTTAGGAATTTGGGAGAACCGAAAAAAGTTTTGTCTTACTATAGGTATCAATTAGATATTTATATTATTATTTAAATCAGCTATTTTCAAACTTTCTTTCACTTGGACCACTTATATATTCTTATAACTAGATAACATTTTATAAGTGTTGCACTACAATAATTTTACTATAATTTTTGATTTTGAGGTTTTTAGGGTATAAGAATGTATAAAGCTATGTAGGTTAAGCATAATTAATAGAAGTGTATAAGTACATAAATGTTAATAAAATCAATTTGAAAAACTTACCTCATAAATAAAACAAATATTTATTCCTATCCCTAAGTAAAATTATTAGTTATTTACCAGCAATATTAAAGCCGTACTAAACAGTTAAAGGGGCAGTATTTTGCGTTTGTTTACTAGATACTATATCAAATACAACAATAATAGGGAATATCAAATCCTCAAGATTGCTCAAAATAAAGTATTATCTCAATAAATCACAAAACTATTCAATGTACATGTATGAGATATTATTATTGCACATTATTATCTATTACACATTAAGCGCTACAGAGTTATCAACGTAACCAAATAAATACTCACAAATCTCGGAGAATTTTTTGACTGACTGAGCTAAATCTCTGAAATACTCGTACAGGATATCTGTCATCATTTGCAAAGTCGAATTTGACATGGAATGCCAACCAATGTTTGAACATATTTGGGCCACAGAGGTGGTCAATCCTTTCCTGATAAACTCGTCGGTCATGATGGTGCTCTGGAATTTCGTTCAAAACGCCTGCTCGCGATCAATGAATGAGTTACCGTGGACCGTCGAAATACTGCAGATGTCATCGATTGAAATCATCGCTGTAACGCAGACGACTGAACAGAAACAAGACAAAAGTCGTCGTTGGTTTAATAAACGGGCGAGGTGATAATAATATAAATACCTACTGATAAACTGGTGCGAGTCATTTTTCGTTAGCTACCATTAAGTATATGACTATATTAGCATACATTTATTATTTTTAATAAACATCATCGTCGCGCGTCGCGATCGGTGACATCATTTTAACCGGCACTCGGTCGCCGATCACCGTTTACACAGTGCATTAAAACGTAGGTACACACAATGAAATAGTGTTACGCAGAAGATCAATGATGATGTTACCCCGTTACCCAGTGATAACAGATAAGTCCGCGGATTGATTAGCCGCGGCTGGTACTATGACAATTTGCTACCGGGTCCCACCACTCGACCACTCACACCCCACCCAACACTTACCGTATTCGTATACTGTACACACACGCGCGCGCGCAAAACGATATAGTTGGCTTAGTGCCCTAGTCAGCTGTAAAGCCGAAAGCCCGAGTAATGAGTATTGTTATCGACGCCCCAAGTCGAGCACTTGACAATCTCGCAAAATAATTTACAATATTTTAAAACCACTCACCGCTCTTCCTTACAGTTCGAATACACGTAGTTGTGCGTGTTCGCGACATAGCGTTGGCGAACGCTTCGAATACACCTATCTCCTTTGATTGTTGTTCCCGGAAAGAGACATTAAATTTTAAATCCGTTTGTACGCGAGTTGTACCCAGGTAATATTGATATTATATGACGTTAAATTATGGTTGATTATTGTGGCGGTTGTACTAATGTCTTGTACTGCTACTGTTGTTGATACTCTTAATATATATATATATATATATTTCTAATCCGAACAAGCAAAATACTAAATATCAAAATTAATTGACAGAAAGCATTAAAACAATCGCTTTGAGATTGACAGTCATGTCGTCGCTAAAATGGTACGAAGGCGATTCCAAAGCAGCACTTCAACACATGATGGACCGAAATTGTGTGCTTTTGATCTATATAGGTATTTATAAACATTATTTGCAATGATATGAGCTCATGAATAGGCACTACATTAATTTTACTTTTTTATACATTCTTACTTATTTTTTAAAGTACTTGATTTTCTATTATTTATCATTTACATTAAATGAGACTATTCGGAATAATAAAAATTATTTTAAAATGCTTTAAATTAATTTTATAGATTTACAAAAACAAACATTTTGTTATTTTTGAATAAATATACTATTAATATTAATAATAATTTTATACCTGTATTATATATAATGTCAAATTAAGTCTATTCTAATATTATCTTAGTATTATCAATATGTAAAAAAAGACGATTATCTATAGTAAATATTTTACATTTATTATTTGTATTTCTAGGAAATGGAAATGATGATTTTGTAAAGATTTTCGATGATACAAATATCATTCAATCACTGAATAATGAACTAATGTTATGCTATAAAATGGATCCACTAAGTCCAAGCTTTAAAAATTTTAAAGCTATTTGTATCCTTTTATTTTTGATAATATTTCAAGTTTCAACTCTCAATACTATTTTATTAATTTAAAGATATATTTAATTATTTAAAATTTAAAATGCATTTTATTATTATTTTGTACTGATATGGTATTAAATATTAGTAGGTGTATCTGTTGTCTCGTATCTTATATACAACTTAGAACATTTTACATTGGGAATAACAATTTAATTCAATTATTTTTAATAGTGAAGTAAATTAATTTTTTATCACATTTTATGGTAAAAATTATTTAGAGTATCAAATTAAAGGAAATTATGAATACTTTATAACTTTATTTTCTGTAAAATTTATAAATATTTAATGATTATTTAAAAAAAATAAAATAAAATAGTTTATTTTTAAGAGGATGTTATATCGCTTCTAGCATATGTTGTCTCCATCTTACTAATGTAAAATTAAATTACATACTAATATTTAGGTACAGTAGTTCTAGTTTTGTATTGTTAGCTTAAATATTAGAGTGAATTGATTTATTATCAAACTTAAACATTATCTATGTTCTTTGGTTGGCTTTTTTAAATATTTTAATTTTTAAGCAAGTTATAATTATTAAGTTTTAATATTCTGTATAGTGTATACTAATAACTCGCTTAAAAATTAAAATATTATAAAAATACAATCAAAAACATAATTTTCTTACCTCTAAGTTTAATATATATAATCAATTTAATTTAACATTTAAGTTAACAGCACAAAACTAGTAGTGCTGAACTTAAATACTTGTATGTTATATGTTAATTAGATGGGTGTGAGTATGATATTCTTTTAATTGCTAGAAATTTGATTCTAACAGAGCAAATGGTTATTATTGATGTTGTTATATTTTAATTAATTATTAATTATTTACATTGAAATCTTATGCAAATGCAAATACAATTTTCTAACTCCTCAACTAATTTGTTTTTTATTTTATATTTTTTCAACTCTTTTAAACAGAAAATTAATAAATTACAAATAATAATCTATAAAATATCGTTAAAATTTTATTACTTATTAATATTGGTAACCAGTAGTGGTTATTCTATGATCCACAATGCTTCAGAAACATATGAAAATTTTGGTGAGTGTGTGAATGGTTGGATCTTAGGTGATTAATAATTATTTATCATACAATAACTTATTTTATTGTAAAATAATTTAAGTAAACAATTTTGTAATAAACCAGCTAAACTTGCCTTGAGTGTAAACCCTTCATTAAAATACAAAATTAAAAAAATTGCCTTCAAGGTGTACATTCTCAGCTATAGGATTACCTATATATCTAATTTATAAACCATGCATGTGATAGACTTGGCTATGAATTTTTTAGGTTTATACACAAATATTGCATTTTATTAATATAGATTATTATTTCATAGAAATCTAAAATACCTATAAATAGTACAAAAAAAAAGCCAAAATTTTTTATGTGTAATTATTAAAATGAATATTTAGTAAAAATGTCAATTATTTGTAGTTCAATATTTATTTTTGAGTTTGGCACAAAATTGATTTAATCAAAAACTGATTTTGCATAGAAATTGTAGTTTTTCATGATAATATTTGTGTTAGGAAATTTTACTTTTGACCCACAGAAAACAAATTATAGATTTAATTTGCTTTAATTAGTTACCCATAAAATAAAAGTTCAAACATTTTTTCTACTTCAGTTCAGTGCCTTATAAACTTTTATTTAATTACTATAATTTGAAATCACAAACAATGGATTAAAATTTTTAATTTATTTTAATCGTAGGACCAATAATACTGTTCATATCAAGTTCTTGCTACTTTAATATGTATGATATGATTAAAGTCACCTTGGTAAAGTAAATATATATTTAAACTTGGGCATGTAAATATTAAAAAATTAAGTTTCTAACTATTTTTTTTTTTCTAATAATATGCTTATATGTACATTATGCAGTATATATTATAATTTAAACTTTCACAATTGTTATTTTGTGTACAAAATTATTCTTTAACTCATTTCTTCAATCAGTCAATAGTGTCGTCATTCCATCAATTTATTTACTAGAAAAGAATAATTCTCAACAATATATCATAACCAAAAAACAAGTTTTAACAAATCCTGATGATGTTCAACTGGATTTGAAACGTCAATTGTTAAATGCTGTTCAATGTATTATGAAAGATATTTTAGGTTTGTTTAATATTTTATGTTATATTTTGCTAGATTATTTCTTCAAATTCACAAATTTAATCATTAAATTATAGACACAATCAATGTTGATGAAAATAAACAGAAATATTTACAATACTTGACTGATATTACTAACAAGGTAACCCAATACAAAATATTTTCTTTATTAATAATCTTTTTTTTTTTTTTGTTAAACTTATTGTCTATAAATTATGAAGTTTCATGTATATATTAATTTTATTATTCTTAATATCTAATAAATATTATTCTCATATAAAATTATACGTGCCATTTTTCTATTAACAATTCATGTTTATTTATTGTAATTTTAAATAATTTAATAAGTAATAAGACAAACATTTGACCTTATCATCTGGTGATTGTATTATTACTGTAGAATCCCCTTCATCTATAGATATGTTGCTGAGAAAAGTTATCAATGTCTTATGTTCTATGTGTTTTAATCTATATATTATGCAACTTTAACAGCTTTAAATTTTATTTTGTATTTCAGTTGAGTGTCTTTGATAGTCCTAGTAATGTTGGTGTCAAAAAAGTTGCAGAAAAAATTAAAAAGTAATTTCTATTCTTACAACAGTTACGACATAAACATATTTTATTTATTCTACTATATTATCTAAACATTGTTATTTATTAATAGACAATAGACTTTAATGAAAAATTTAATTGTTTTTTGAATTGTTCTAAAAACTAATGGCTTATAATATTTTAATATCTATTTAACAATTTGAAAAAATAAATTCTTATTCTTTCTAATAATAATTTTTAATTTGTTTTTTTAATAAACTGCCAATAAGCTTTTAACCTTGGGTATAGGTATATTTTTATAATCTATATTGTATGTAGTTATATAACTTCCATATCTATACAATTCTACACCATAATGTTTAGAAAATATCTTGGAAATGTTATTTAAATATTTACAAGCAAGTTCTGTAGTATAATCACTTATTCATTATAGCTTATGAAAAAATGATTTGTGTGTATTATATTTATGTAAAGATATTATTAAATGTTTAAATTATTATAGATCTAATGATACTGCAAAAATTAAATTCAAAGTTCCATGTAAAGATATGACGATAGTCAAAGAATTTCAAACAAATTCTTTACTCAAAGATATCAAAACTTATATATTAAATGAAGCTCGTCTCTCTGGAAGGTGAGAACATTTTCTTGATTGATTTTTAAAAAAAAAAAAATTTATAGAATAAAACATTTATTTTCAGACGTATAAAACTTATAGCTCATCGACAATTTACTGATGAAGATTTTAACCAAACATTAAATACATTAAATTTGTGTCCATCATCAACTGTTTATGTACACTTGGATATGGTAAATATAAAATTCAATAAATATTTTATTTTTCTAATCCCAAATTGCAGAAATAATTATTCAATGTTTAATGAATTGCTGAAGAACTGATGATTTCATGGTTTATGAAATAGTATTGAAACATAAATTAATCAGTTCTGTATATATATTATTGTTAACTTGTTTTCTATTATTTATGATGTTAATGTAGGAACAATCAAATCAGTGGCTGTACTCCATACTCAATTATCAATCTTGGCTTGGAAATGTACTTAATTTTATCATTATCAACCCGTTTAATTTTATTCAACATTTTTTAATGAGTTTGGTAAGACCAGCACCATCTGTTGAAGCTCCAAGAACGGTTAATTATCATTATAAAAATAAAACAAATAAAGTCAAGTAAGAACAATTAATGATTTAGAATTATTGCATGCATTTACTTAAACTAGATTATGAAGAAATTTTTAACTGCTTAAATCCTATATTTATCTATTCAATTAAATCAATAATTTTTAATAATTTTTATAAACATGATATTAACACACATTAAGCTAATTGAATGAATTGATAATATGGTTTTACCATTGACACTAGTGTACTAGTTGCTTCTAACAGTTAAAAATGTAAAAATGTCTATAATTTTTAAATAGATAGTTTTCAATATTATATAAAAGAGTTATTTTCCAACAAACCCTAAATTTTATACTAAATAAAAAAAATCTAGTGTTAATTTCCCCAGATAACTGGTTTGTTAAATTTAAATTTATTCATTTTTTTATGTATATTTAGTAATCCATAGTATTATAACATCAGTCAACAGGGCCTTCTTAGGTATATAATATGTGTCCATGAAAACAGTATACTATTAATTCACTACTCTGTACACATTTTCCAATTCATTTTTTAATACCAAGACATAATCAGAATTATTATTAAAATCATAATTTAAATGGTCCAAGATTAACCATTTTAGGAGCCACTCTACAGGTTAGTGTTTTATACCAAATTTCACTCTTTTTTTCTTGAAAAATTTGTGCTTTATGATCAGATATTTCATATTGTTAATAATAGATAACATTTATCTCTAAAGATAAATTATCAAAACAAATCGCAAATCATTTCACTAAAAATCTTAACTATTTTTTTCCTATTGTTCTTATAAAAATAGGGCCATAGTATAATTTATCATTAATCAAACTAATTCATATCTTTATCTTTCAACATATTTGTAAGTTTATAGGAACAGTTTAATGAAAATTTTCATTTGACCAATAGCGATTATTTAATAATTAATTATCACAAAATATAATTAATTAATAATGAACCGTTCTCAGACGTACTATAACATTGATTAAAATAAAACTTTTTCATAGTTATTTATGATTCATTTTTTTGTATAAAAACAACAAATAAATCACAGAAATTATAACTTTTTAGATAATAATAGATAACTTGAAATTACTAAGATCACAATAACATATAATCAAATTCATGATATTTAATAGAAAAATAATGACATTTTAATTATTTTTGGTAAATCACAAAAATAAAAAGACCAGCACTCATTCTTTGTTAATAATAATTAATAATTATAACTTTCGTGGAACAGATAATACACACACCATATAAAAACAAAATAAATTTTTAAATGTTTAATTCAATTTGTGACCTGTAATTAACACACCTGAGGAACCTTTGAACAATTGATCTAATAATTTATATTTAAATTTTCTATCAATCAAATCAATACTTATTTATTTATTTTTTAATAGTTCCAATATCTAAATTAATACAATTAAACCCGGTTAGATTTTATCATATTTTATCATAATACAATACGTTTTTATGTATAGATTCATTTTTCTATTTACATGGTATATTTTTGTTAATTATGAGCTACTATTCAATTATACATGAGTGGTAATTAGTATGAATATTTTTGGTAGACAATCAGTAGATAATTATAAGCCACTTGATTATTAGAAGCAACTTAAATATGTTAACCTTTTTATTTGTGGCAAGTATGAGAGGCAATGTTTAAATTTAAAGATAAACTAATATACTCCAATTTACACTAATTAAACATAAACTATATAATTAAATGTATCATTTGAAATAATTGCTTTTTTTGATTGTCACATAGAAAGTCAACATACAAATCAGTTTCTAATATCCATCAATTGAATACTAAAAACTCTGATGATGATGAAAACAATACATACAATGGAAACTCTACACAACAATTGTAATATTTAAATGTCTTGAATATATTATTCTTTTTAACTTAAAACAATATATTAAATATCTGTAAAATCAATTCTATTTTTTGTTATTTATTTTAAACATTGTTTATTAATTTCAATAATTTATTCACTTTATTTTTTAGTATAATTAATTCTTGATTATCAGAATTAAATTATTTATATTATAGTATAATTAAATGTATAATTTTTTTAATTTTTAACATAAACTGACCAAGGTATTTAAATAAAAATGTTTTTATTGTACATAATATAATAAAAAATGCAGTATTTTAGTAAAAATAATACATTATTATAATTTAACTAGTCAAACTAATGTTTGTAGACACTAAATTATCACAAATCAATTGTTAATTTAATAAAAATATAAAATATAATTGTTTGTTATTATGGCACAAAAATACACCAATAAAAAATATATTAAAATTCAGAAACATAAATTTCTATAAAACTAATACTTGAAAAAAAAAAAATTAGATCTAAAATCATGAAATTATTATTCAAGAAAAACTTTTAAAATATACTATAATAAGAATAGTATGTCAACAATTAAGTCAAATCAACTGGTCGCAGTTGGCGTTCACCATCAGCTAAAAACACAAGCATGGCCCGATACAAAAGATGGCAACCAAGTTTACATCGATCGCTATTCAACCATCGAGCTGTGTTATCGTAGTATGTACCACGCTTTTCATTTGTAAGTTTGTCCAATCCAATAGCATCAATCATAGCTGCCTCTCGAATATGTGCTTCTTTTATCATCAAATGGTGGAATGCTTGCACACAAACCACCCCCAATTTTTCCTTCCATAGGCTCAAAATATATTCAGTCTATTTTAACATAAAATTCAATATATAATAATATGATAACTATATTTAATGTAAATTTTTTAAAAATGTTTAAATACTACACACTTTACGGCTTTTATCTTGATTTTTGTTTTCGACCCAAGCCTTAAATGCTTCATTCATATGATCGTTAGGTCTAGATTTGGTGCCTTTACCAATGTAAAATATTGATCTAATAAATGTCTGCCATATTTCAATGGGATTCATTTCATTAGCTCGAACGGGTAGATTGTTTGTAATACGTGGATCTAATAATAAATATGTAAATGACGAACCACTCTTAGCAGAAACAATGGAATCTTCCAAAATACTCCAACTTTTTATAGTTTTTTTCCATGCATCATCAGCTAAAACTTTAGTTAACTGCATACTGTATGAACCTTTTAAAGAATAAAAAAATAAGAAATATATTAATTATAGTAAGCAATGACAATTAAAAACATACCAGATGAATTATTAATAGGCTTATCATCATGCTTCTCTTCTGTTTGCTTTTGTAATATTTGATTAAGTTTTCTTACATAAACTTGTTTTGTACTAGGTACTATTGGTCCTGGCGGATAGCCACACTCCCTAAGACTTTCACGAATGTAATCTGTATCACAATCTGAAATTTCAACTAAACTACAACTGCACTCATCTAAGCAAAACAGTAAAATCATAATTAAAAATAATATTAAATATATACAGAATTAAAATAAATAACTGAACATTCTAAAAAGTGAAAACATTATTCTTAGATCATACCTAAAGAATTAATAATATTTGAAACTTCTAGATTATTTAATTCAGCTGATGTTTTAGAAGTCGAATTGCTAAAAAAAATTAAATAAATATATTAATATTAATTAAATAAATAAAAACTTAACAATATAAAATATATGTAAGAAAAATTACTATAAATATATTTCCAAAGTAGAAATAAATATTGTTAAAAAAAAAAATATTGAATTTATCAAAAATGTTCTTAAAAATATAGGTAATAAAAGATATTAGTTATTATATTAAAAGATCGATTAAGATAATTCATGGAAACATTAAAATATTTTTTAACAATTAGAGCTATCAATATAATGTACTATAAAGCCATTAAAAATGTTGTATAAATATGCTAAAAATTTTAAATTTAAAAAGTATAAAATATTTAAAAATAATATTATTAATTAAATACAATGTATTATATACTAATATACATTGATACATATAAGTTTTAAGCCCTGATGAATATTTTTAAAAATACAATAAAATAACTAGAATTATTATTCTTTGTTTAAAAATTAAAATTATTAAATCATAAATTTAAAATATTTATAATAAAAAAAATTGTAAACATATTTTTTCTAAATTTTTTGGGTTTCAGAAAGAACTGATAAATAATTATGAACACATCATTGTAAAATCAATGTTTATTACTCTGTTTGAATTTTTAGTCCATGATTCAAACTTTGTGTTAAAGAAACTGTGTTTTATAAAAATTTTAAAAATCAGCTGTCCTATTAATTTATAGATCTAAAACAAATAACAACAGTTAATAAATATAGTACCTTATTGAGCCATAAATACTTGTCGTTGATAAGCTTTTTGTAACATCTTCCAATTCAATGTCAGTCTTATAAGTAACACTATTAACACTATTACGAATTTGTCGTTCAGAATTTGTATCTGTACATGTCAAAAAATCATCGGAACTCAAACTAGATAATCCAGATATATCTGACATCAAATCACTGTCACTTAAAGATGTATCTTCTACCTGGCTAAAAATATTTTTTGTTCCTAATTCAACCTCGTTATGTTCATATAATTCAGAATCACTTAGTAAATTACTGGAAGGAAAACTAATATTTTCTATGCTTTCAAATTCATCTGATACGCATTTGATTGAACTCAACATAGATCCGTCATAATAAATTTTAGATGGAATACGCTTGACGTGTAATCCAGTAATATGATTGTCTGATGAAACATTTTTATTTAAAATATCATCAAAAGAGTAAGCTGTTGAAGTTAATATACATTCATCGATGTTATTATTTTTTTGACCAACTGAATCAAATGTTGATTTGGAAATGCTATCTAAACTTTCACTGCTATTAAGATAACCACTGTTTGTACATAATTTATCAGATTTATCAAATGTTGATTCAGCATCGATCGATTTTTCAATATTCTGTGCTTTTTTAGAACTACGATATTTTTCTTTAATATGTTTTGATTGCATTACATCAGAGACTTGCTTTTTTAAATTACCTAAGGTAAAACATAGAAATACACAATTTTTAACTCAAAAATGTATATTAAAAATCATAAAATGTGGTCTCTGTTATTTATAACTATTTAATCTCATAAGCTTTGCAAAAATTATATTTTGTACTTACTTGTGTAGTTTTTCATATAAGATTGAAGAGTAGCAAGTGATTCCCATGCACTAAATTTCACAGCGTAATTAAATACATTGAGATTATCTTCATCTTTTATGTATGGATTGGGTATAATATAAGGACTTTTGAGTAAAATTCCAACGACCTGTGAACGATTCCATGCAACAGCAATATGCAGAACTGTGCGATTTCCTTCACAAAGTACGTTGGGATCACCTCCATTATGTAAAAATAATGAGGTCGCTATTTTTCCGAACGCCAAGTTTTCATGCCCTGCAGCTAAATGAAATGCTGTCATCCCTTCCTCCGGAATCAAAATATTTGGATTAGCTTTATTCTGAGATAACAAAGTATTGACTTGCCTAAACAAAAATAATAATTTAAATAATAAACACCACTTTTCAAACTCATAGAAAAGCTGAAGTTCAACAGCTTATTAAGTTAATATGAACCAAACTATTACACAATCAAATGTCCATGCAATTTGAAGATAGAGACATTGATGTAGTACAGTTTATCTGCATTCACACTCAAGTCAAATCCAGATTTTTACAAAACAGTATTATTTTTTATTTTCCGAACAATACGTACTGAATATTACAATCCTCGACTGCGTCATAAAGTGCTCGAGCCAGATACAAGGTTCTCCATTCGTCGTTCATTATGGCTTTCGCCATCGTTGTTACAAATCGATTAATTGATTGTCAATTGTTATTTCACTTGTTTCAAACCACATCCGGTACCCGTACGAATACGATTTCTGTGAAATATCGTGTCCAGGACATTTGGAATAATATTTACGAATACACATACATATATTCACACACACACGCGCGCGCGCGAGCGATGGACGATAGATAATCCCGACGACCGGTAATTACAGTTTTGTTTTAAACTCGGGGATCAAAGTTTATTCAAATCATCGTAATGATTAAGCGATAAATATTAATAAAAAAAAAAAGTACGCGATCGCGTACAAACATGAAACATGTCTCGTAACGAAAATCCCGTTATCACTTTATCAGTTATCACAGTAAGTTTGTATTTACTATTTACTGTTTACATTTTACATCTATCGTGAGTTGGCACAAATCAATGGCAATGTACTATATAGTACATAATTATAGTAATGAATGATATTATGATTAAAGAGAAATATTTTATGTTTTTACATGATATTAATATTATTAACTAATAACTACCTATGTATTTTTTTTTTAATGGTTGATACAATGATACCTAGCATAGGTAACGTTATCGAATATCGATAGTGCTAAAAACTGAATGGTTAATCTTTTTCAATACTGTGTGCAATGAAAAAAAAATCTATTTTCATTTACAATTGTATTTTAGGATTGAGGAAACACTTAAAGAAAATGACTACCAAATTTTTGGTCGTATTTTAAAGTCAGCTACTTTTTTTTTTTTAAATAGATTTTTTCCATTTAATTAAAAAATTGTTTTTATTAAAATAATGAATGATTAAGTCACTACTTACCAATATGTATAAGATGTTACCATATTTCTATTAACAATTATATTTTATTATAGATATCTAATCGTTTAAAAACATAATATTTATATAATAACTTTTTTATAAACTTATAATTTTGAACTGCTGAAGTCAAAAATATGAGTAGCGAATATATTGTACAGTAATAATGATATAAGTAATGTAACTCATACTGAGTATTTTACGAGTATATTAGGTAGGGTATTTCAAGGTATAACAGATATATTAATTTGTAATAAATATATTTCAAAAACCTGTTATAGGTCAAACAAGAAATTTAAGCTTTCTTTTAAACCAAACACTACCTAGTGTCCTAGTCAACTACTAACTAGTAAGTACCTACCTACTAAGTAGTTGCTATTACTAAAATACATTAGTTCATTAATATCTACTCTAATAATATATCTAAATAAATATATTTATGATTAAAATTACTCATTTATTTACTGTGACTAAATAGTCACATATCTACATTTCAAATAGACCACATAGGTATTATACATTTATACCTACTAATACAGGACATAGTTCTCACACTTCAAAACTACACTTTGTTATTTAAGTTACCTATTGGTTTCTTGACTTCGTAGTAAACTCTGCAGTAGTCAAAGACAGAAACATTCAATATTGTTGACGTCTCCAATATTAACCTAATATTTATGAATATATTTATTGAAATAAAGAAAATTAGGTATTTAATAAAATTGTAGTTTTTAGTGGTCGTAATATACATCGTAATTTTATTTTTCTTATTATATACAATTATATTATTTTGTATCACTATTTATCATTATTAAATGTAGATACCTATTATACTTATATATTGTTGTATGTTTAAATATTTTTATGCCTTTATGCTACATGATTTTATAAAAATATGTATTTTATGATTAAATGGCTTGTTTATGTATTACTAAATAAGGGGGTGTAAGAAAAACAGCCCTTGCTATTGGTAAACTGCTTCTAAAAATTATTCTTGAATTCGACGTTTTTATTATATTTTCTAATTACCAACTCAAAAATTGATAATAATCACTTAGACAGGTCCTATATAAAATATCATGATAAATTCATTTGTATTTTAACAAGGCTGGGCATTAACGAGTTAAAAATTAAAATTAAGTTAAAACGTTAAATTAATATTAACTAAGTTAACTAACTCGTTATTTTTTTTTTTGAAACTAACTTTTAACTTCATAAGTTAAATTTTTAACATATTTAACATGTTAACTTCAAGTTAATTATATACAGAGATTTCAAAATTAAGTTATATTTTAAAATTTGATATAACCCATTGATTTATAATTTTATTGGTTTAAGAAATATTAGATAATAATATATATCATATAAAATAAATAGGAAAATGTATAATTAATAAATAATAATTATTATCGGTTGTTTGATATGTACACATACACAATATAATACATATAATAGACATATAGGTATTTCCAATTTTGTAGATAGCCTATATCCAGTGAAATACCACTAATACCCACTCGCATGTATTATTAATTAATAGTTTTAAATTTAAAAATTTCAATAATTGATATTATATAGACGTATAGTAGCGCGTATAGGTAGGTACTAGGTTCTAGTCACTCTAGGTAGTAGGTACTACGGGTGGTAGCGACGTCTATGTACTTAATTAATAATTAATTTTGTTGTAAACTATAACTCATTACCTAGTGACACTTTACGAATACGCCACACATCCCGAGAAATACGTTATTACTTGAAATTATTAAAATAACTCATGGGGAAAAATTTATTTCTGAACATCTTTGTTAACTCTGTCATTCTGATTCGATGTTAATGTATCTCATATACTCTTGTATCTAATTATGCTGATTGTGTTTATACTTTATATGGATTTACCATATATTGACATGTAGCAGCTAATAGTAGAACTTGTATAATTTGTGTAATTATACCATTTTAATTCCCCCCTTTTCTTTAATGAGTAGGACAGTGGGAGAGAGTTGGATGGATTGTCAATTGCCCACCCTAAATCCTCGGTAAATACTGCTAAGCATACTACATGATTGGCTACATGGGTACAGAAATCTGAGCTTGACATAAATTCAAAATTAAGTAACCTATTTTTCTTACAGATTCGAAAATAATTAAATATTTAATTAAGTTAATTTTAACTTAGTTAAATTTTTTTATTCATTAATTCTTAAATTAACGAAGTTATATAAAAAATATTAGTTAACTTTTAACTTAACTTAACTTACTTTTTCTTATACTAACTTAACTTAACGAGTTAAAAAAAAAAAAACGTTAACTTGCCCAGCCTTGTATTTTAAACCTTTTTTACAAAAAATAATTTAAAGAACAAAAATTAAAATACATTATATGTGTAATAATACATTAAAAACTAACTTGTTTAAATCTGAAGCTATAAGGCATAAAGTAATAACTAGAACTATAAATAATATATAAAAAATTATTTTAAGAATTAGGAAAATTACTATTATTTAAACTTGAAGCCCATAATAATTATGTCATATGTACCATAGATTAAATATACTTAGATTAGTATATTTAATCTATGTATGTACCTACTTATAATAATAACATTGTTATATATATCTAACGTAAAAATTAATTTTAATTGATTTTTAAATAATAATGTAAAAGAAGAATTATGATGAAATGTGCAATATTTTACTTTTTGGTTTTAAAATGAAATTGTTTTAGTTAAATCTATTAAATATATAATATATAATATATATTATTATTTATTTAAGTTTTACATAAATTCATAATGAAAATATTTTTATTAATACAATTAAATATTTAAATAAATAACTGGTTCAATTACTTGATAACTGAATAAATATTTATTTTTTATTTAATTAACAAATAAAACTGATTTGATTAAAAATGGCTATAATTTACTATCTACTTTTCATATACCTTTCTGCCATTTTTACTATTTTAATTACCATTTTTTCCATTCTATTGAGATCAAAATATTTAATTATTACATAAATTATATTTATCTATAAATACCGATACCAGTTAAAGTTATACATATTAAAAAATAAAGTTGGACTTATTAGGTATGGACTTATAACCAGTTGTATATTATGAATTTAATATTATCGTAATATCATTGAATTTTTTTTTTTTTTAATTACGGCTCTTAGGACCATCCTGAAAACACTAAACTTTGCCACCTATCCCTGTCCTCCACTACTTCTCTCCACTTGACACCAGGCTCTATCTTTTTCACTTTTTTCTTCACACCATCTTCCCATCTTAACTTAGGTCTACCTAGTGGTCTTTTTCCATTAGGCACTTCTTCGATCACCCATTTTACTAAAGTACCCTTGTTTGCGCCACGCATGTCCTGCCCAACTTAGTTTCCGCTTGGCGATCTCTCTAACTATATTCAGCCTCTGGAAAAGTCCTTGGAGTTCCACGTTATGAAGTTTTCTCCATTCGTTCGTTTGTCTATCGTATATGGGGCCAAAAATTTTCCGTAGAACTTTTCTAATATCATTGAATTATATTTTTTTATAGATGTTTACAATTGTTTATTTATAGATATAATTACTATCTTTATATTTTTATTTTTTAGTTCATAATTTTTTAAATCAAACATCTCAAATTTAAAGTTATTAAGAACGATGAAGTCATGCTACGTAATAATACCGGCTCTCCCTACGTAATGTTTCTTTATACAATTATACCTATGTATTTTTGCCACAACGTCCTATAAAATTAATATCAATATACTAAAGAGCTAAAGTAGATATCTATATTTTATAAATTTGAATAGTTTTAGCTTATTAAATATCGACTAAATTACAGCAATTGTCAACGATTTATTTTCCCGTGTAATAACGTATAATATTATTTAATTACATGCAGTTTTTGTTATACATATTAGCATATACACCTGTTAATAATAAAATATTATAAAAATAAATAATCTTGAAAATTATGTAATTATGTAATAGATGGCTGATACGTAAAAAATAGCTACTATCTAATCATGATTTTATAATTATACCTATAATTTAAATGTATTTTTACCTTACAAGTTACAATGGATAATAATTTACAATTGTATTAATATTAACAAAAAATAACATAATATTTGAGGGTCCTGCGGGGTAATATTGAGAGTTAAGATTGTTAAGAACGAGTGACGTTCAAACCCTAGACAAAAATCTGAGAGAGTGTACAATTTAAGAAATTGAAACATAAATTATAATTTATTACAATTACGAATGGATTTTGTTATTTAGCTCTCATATTACTTTCAAAACTTAATATTGCTTTTAGTGGAAATTTATTAGATCGAAATAAATAGAATTTTAATTGAAATTAATAAGTATCGCCGAAAGGTACGTACACGAGACTACGTAAATAATATTTATAATATAAGTTTAATTCATGTCATTAGTGACAAAAGTTTCACAGAAAAATGTATCAATACGCCTTTATAAAATATTACTAATCAGCCGAATTATTCGACGATAACATTTTAATGTTTTCTGATATTAATTCCTTATTAAGTTATAACTATTTTATTAAATTATGGTGTATAATTTTTTGTCTACTTGTAATTAACTGGTGTACGTATACTTATTCTATATTATACTGGTTTTTGTACAATATTAAAAAAAATACACATTTGCATTCAATACTTACACAATATACACGATTCATATCTTAATGCACCTAGTTTACATAAATAGTGTTAGGCTAATACACTAGTATCAGCCTATTTATTGTTTTTAAAATATATATATATATTTATGTTGAATAAAAAATACTAAGTACCTACATACTTGTCACTGCATAATTTAAATTATAAAATACAGATTTCTTAAATTATTAAAAATAATTTAAGTTGTTCAAATTAATATATTTATAATAAGTCGGAAAATGATAATAATCATTTTTAAGTTATATGTCCACGAAAAATTGATAAAATATAATAAGTATTATACTTATAAAAATACTAGTTCGTATACTTAAATAGGGTGCCTGACTAGATAATATAATTATATTGTACCTATAGCAGGGGTCGGCAATTCAATTCTAT